ACCAGATGGGAGAAGGTGTCTGCAAACCACAGGATTAAATCTTTTTTTTTTTTTGCAAATTAAAGATGAAAAAGATTGACCATAAAAAAGATGAAATCTTACTACTTGTGTGACAATGAAGATTGAGAGGATTATCCAAGTGAAATATATTCCAACGAGAGAGACAAATACATTTGTGGAATATAAAAGCAAATGAATAAATAAAGACAAAACAAAAATAAACCTTTTTTTTTTTCAAGGACAACAGGTTGGTGGTTATCAGAGGGGAAAGACAGGAGAAAGAATAGATGGGACGGTTTTGTTAGTGAAGGATGATGTCTGGACATTTAGTGGTAGGAATGATGTGACATGCAGAATCCCTGACGTAAGAAATTATCCACCTGAAACTTATACTGTGTTGTAATGTTACTTTCCTGTTTCAAAAAAAGATATAACCCATTAAAAGTGTACAACAATTTGAACAAATACTTCAAAAAAAAAAAGACATACAAATCACTCAAAAGTACAGGAGATGTTCAGTATAATTACTCACAATAGAAATATAAATTAAAACCACAATAAGATGCCAGTTAACTGGAGTTAAAAGAACTAACAAGTGACAAGAAAGTCTAGTATGTTGCTGTAAAATGACAATCACTTGACAAAACCACTTGGCAATTTCTAATGAAGTTAAAAATAACTCCATCATTGTATTCAGGCATTATTGAAGAAAACATATAGCCACAAAAGACTTGTTCAGGAGTGTTCATAGTAAATATATTTATAACAGTTTTAAAAATTGGAAGCAACCCGGGCCCTCCCTGGTGGCACAACAGGTTAAAGCACAGCACTGCAAAACTATCAAGAGCCACATCTGCGTGTGTTCGATCCCTGCACAGCCCAGGGGGAATGACCCACATGGCGTGGCAGACCTCTCCTGACCTGCCTGCTGCTCCTCTCAGCAGTGACCTTCATAGATCTGCCTGTTCTGCTCCCCACTCTGTCTCTGGTGAATCCCCTCACCACCTTGCACCGCTGGCCTGTATGCATAAGTAAATAAATCTTTAAGAAAATATCAGAAGCAATCCAAGTATGCATCAATAGGAGAATAGATAGCCAAATTATATTTGTACAATGGAACACTACTCAGCAATCAAAAGAACAAAGTTCTGATGCTCACAAGGACGTGAATGAACTACACAAGCAGATTAAGAGAAAAAAGTCAAAACAACAGAGTACAGTATGGTGTGGCTCCATTTATTTAAAGTTCTAGAACAAGCAACTAATCGCTGGTAATCAAAGTCAGATAATGATTTTTTTCTGGGTGGGGCGGTGGTCATTACTGGAAAGGGCCTTGAGTGTCTGTTCAGGAGTGATGGGAAAGTTCTACATCTAGATTTGGATGTCATTGACATGGCTTCTACATATGTCACAATTCACGGAATTGTACCTTTAAATGTTATGCATTTTATAATACATAAAAAACTCAGTAATTGTTTTAAAATCAGATAGACATCAGAGTTCTCTGCAATATTCAAAACTAGAAGACAATAGGGAAATGTCTATCAAGTTCTGAAGGAAAGAATATGAACTCCAACATACTAAAACCAGTTGAACTTGTATTCAAGTAAAAAGTCAAGTGGGCAATGATTAAAAGCCATGTTCACCTTGTGAAGAAACTCATTGAGATTTTCCTTTATGGATTGTGTGTATTATTTAATTAAAAATTATTTCACATCTATAGAATGAGTATATTAATAGAACATACCTAACGCAGCTAGGGGATTTAAGAGCCTTTGTATTTATTTACAATACATACACCCCACAATAGCAGTGGCCAGAGCACATTAATGCTCAATAAATGTTGTATGTTAACTTAATGGATAAGAACTTTAAAACTTCTTGGGGGGGATCAAAGGAAAAGAATGGAGGTATGTTTGAAAAATATCGACCAAAGGCTCATAATTCTTTTTTTTTTCAGCCCCATCCCAGAGGCTGATAATTCTAAAAGCTAATAGTTTCTTGGAGGTACTCCACTCTTTTACTTATAAATAAAGTATTAATAATAAAAGGGGAAGTAATAAGTGCAGGCAAAGGGACTTTTTATTACAATGAGTTGCATTAAAGTTTGGTAAAATTAATAAAATCCATTTTTTTGGTAATAACATCCATGGAAAGAGGGGCATTGACAAGTATAAATGAACTTAGAATATGAGGACCATGAGCCTTCACCAAACAAAAGCTAAAAGAATTTCAACCATCAAAAGTTGTAACTCAGGAAGGGAGAAACGAAACAGAAGGGAAGGTGGTGGCCTGTGACTACTGAGCAAAAATGTTAAAAAGTAAATTACAGTTACCAAGCAGAATTTGAGCAGGGTAAAACTTAACACTGTAAAACTACTAGCGAATGCTGATGTCTCAGTTTCTCCACAGGGAATCAATCAATGTGTACAATGTGGTTAATACAAAACATAGTGTTGCTGCAAGACCGGCAGATTGAGTTTTGGATTTTGTGAATCATCAGTTCACAAAGCTGTGTCAGTGTCAAGTGTACCCGTGGAGGAGGAAGCCTGAACCCCGCCCTCCGCGGCCCTCCCTAGGGTGACAGCTCACTTGCGGGCTGAGCACGGCTGTGGCTGGGACTAGCCGAGTATGGGGAGCCTCCTTATCAGTGCTTAGGGGGTGTGTGCGGTCTCCTGGAAGCGCCCAGTAGCAGGTGAGGCCACCAGGCTGGGGGCAGGACCCCGGGAAGAAGCACCCCCTTCCATTCATCTCACCGAGAGGGTGGCGGGGACCTGACTCTCCTCAGCATCCCTGAGCCTTAATTAAGGAGTGTTCATCTCTAAATGTCACTCTCCCTTTTCTGAAAAACGGAGAAAAATAGCTTTTGTGGAGAAGAAATGGATGTGAAGTTCTAGAATTAATTCAGTTTCATTTTCTTCAATTAGAAGGAAGTAAAATTAAACCGTCCCAAAAGGAAAATAGACATATGGCATGATCCCATTTTTATGAAAGTATTTCTATCTCTCCTATCTGCGAAAATGCATAGAAATGTGTCTAGGATGCTGTACCAGAAATGTTAATGATAGTTATATTTGAATGGTGAAACTTGAACGAATTCTTTTATTTTCTTTTTGTACTTTTCTGCTTAAACCGCTTATAGGAGCAATATTATTTTCACAGAGAGAATTAAAAACCCTGACTTTGGGGCCTCCCTAGTGGGGTAAAGGGGAGAAAACGCAGCACTATGGAGCAAGTGGGAGCTACTGCAGCACCAGTCTCCAGCCCCAGGCCTCTGGTCCTTCCCTGGGCACCAGCAGGAGCCTCTTGGCTGAATACCCTTTAGTTGTGAATTATATCAATTACTACCTTTCACAATGTATTGTTATTATTATTACAATTTAAGAACAATATCCCTAAGCCATTGAAGGAGGGTTTTTTTTCGGTGCATGGAGACCAGAACCCTATCTTGACCTTTCCTAGGGCTCAGAGGATGAGCAAATGTTCTCTGGAGTCAGCTTGTCAGGAAAACCCAGTAAAGGTCACACTGGAATCAGAGATTAGCAAATCTTGGCACTGGGGACAGCACCCAGGCCTAGTGTGGCCCTGTTCCAGGGATCTGGACAGAGAAGATCTGAGAGAGTTGCTAAAATTAACAAATATATAGGAGGACCAATTAAATTTGAGTGTCAGATAAACATAAAAAATGCTTAGTATAAGTATGTCCCACATGTTACATGGGATTTACTTAGAGTAAAAAATATTATACATTGTTTATTTGATACTCAAATTTAACTATTCCATATTTTATTTAGCATCCTTATAGTCTCAAATATTTGCCCGAGAGGAAGAATTATTCCTGCAAATTTTTTTTTATTTTTCCATTTTGAATTATTTAAACATTAAACCAAATCTCTATACACTCTCCAGCCTATAAATGCAAATTAACTCATTTTAAAATAACGAATGTCTCTGGCCTGCCCCAGTCCACCGCGGGGACCTTGTCCCTTTAAGAGATTGCTGGGGGTGGGGTGCCCAAAGTTTTGAGTTGGGTGCCTGTTTCCCTCTAGCCACAAGAGGGCAGTGGTTGCCTGACTGAGCTGCGTGGCAGACAGACTCTGCCCCTCGGCGCCCTCTGCTGGTGAAGCCCCGCAGAGCAAACGCAGGGTTGCCCAAAAGGACCAGAGAGCCCCAGGACACTTCTCCCACTCCTCGCCAGGCTGACAGCAAATGGCCTGCCCAACTCGCCGGCCTCTGTGCATTCTGCTTCACTGCCCCTCCTCACCAACTCTTCTGGCTTTGTGTGAGCAGTGTGAACAGGGAGTGCCCAGCTCCATGCCTCTTCTTGCTTCCTCCCACAGGGCCTGCTTGGCTTGCTCCTGCACCAACCCACAGCTCTCAAAGGCCAGGAGAGCCCACAGCTCCCGGGAGTCACAGCTGCCCCGCCTGCCCATCAGCCACACCATCCAGTCCCCCGGGACTCCAGGGCAGGACCTTGGCTAGCCGGGCAGCTCCCTCTCCACCCCACCCCCTCTAACCTCTTTGGCCCTTTCTCCCACCCCCTCCCTCTGGGCCTCAGAAAGCCTCACTTCATTTATTATCACCTGCTAGTTTTTAGACGTATCTTGCTTGGTTGAACTGTCGTGCAAGCATCCAATATTTGTTTTTGTCATTCCGACTTCCTTTACTACATGTAGTTCCCCCGAACACCTTCCATTTTGCCGTCAGTGGCATTTGCTTTTCATTTGTCCTGATGACTGAACAGAGCTCCCTCATGTGGATACCCTACATCTTCTTGGTGCAGGCCTCTGGCAGTGGCCACTTGGGTTGTTCCTAAATGGCGTAGTCACCTTCTGTCTCCCCACCAGGCAGCAGGGGCCGGGGCTCAGGCTGGGGCTCCCTGGTCCTGCACAAGGCTCAGGGAATTGTCAACAAGCAGTGGTGACGTGGAGGTTGAGGGGGTGCGTGAGAGGCGTCCCTGGGCCAGCAGCAGAATGACTTTTTTAATAAAGACCGTTTATTTACAGATAATACAAAAGAAACCACAGGACAGACTAGTGTGCAGGGGAGGGATGGCCCCACAATCACCCCCTCCCCATCCCAGAGTAACATATAAAAAAATTAAAAAGGCCCTAAAAGGAAGGAGGGGCAGGGCTGGAAGCACCTTTCTGACTGGGGGCTGGGGCCTGCAGTCCTCAACCACCCTGTTCCAGGACAGAGTGGACCCTGGCTTGTGGCCATTGCAGAGGTCCCTTGGCCACAGACCCTGACTTCTGACTCTGAAGGGTTAGAGCAGGGGGAGGGTAGCAGGGGGAGGGAGCCCGGGGTGGGCGTTATTGCAGTGATCCAGCCAGCTCCCTCCTGGCCCTGATGCGGTTCCGCACTGGGTCCGGGAGCAGCTGTGTCGAGCAGGACTGTGGGGTCCTCAAAGTGACGATGTTGTTGAGTCCACCACTTCGCGGCCGTTGCACACCGTGGGGACAAACTGGGAACCAGAGCCTGTGGAAAGGAAGTTGGGGTTGGAGCTGAGCCTGAGGGCCTCCACGGAGGCTGAGAGGGCCCCGCCTGGCTCTCTCCTGTCCTGTCTCCTCCAGATGCCATTCTGTGAGACCAGGAATCTCAGAACCCATGCTTAGGAGCTGAGGAGGGAGGGGGGCAGGTGGAGGTGCTGCTTGGGGTAGGTGCTCACCTTGGCCGGTAGAGCTGGCCCGGGTGCCAGCACTGCCGAAGCGGCTGGTGGGTGCACGGTGGGTGACCACGTTCTTCTGTGGTTGGAAGAGGATGATGTGCAGCTTGGGAGCAAAGAGACAGCCGAGCACCACAGAGCCACTGAGGCTGACCGACACGCACATGGTGGTCGTCTGCACCTGCGGTGGGTGAGGTCGAGAATGAGTCTGGCCCAGAGGACAGGGCCAGGCCTTGGGATCCCCTACCTGGACTTTGGGGTAGAGTAGGGAAGACAGGAAGCATTCAACACTGGGCCACTGCCCATTTGCCCAGCCCCAAAGGGTTTCTAGGAAGGTTGGGACTGTCCCAGCATCAGCCCCAGTAAATCTTCTTCCCAAGGAGACCAAAGTTCCAGGTGTGAGGGTGACATGCAGGGGTGCATGTGCTCGTGGGGGTGTGTGTATGGGTGTGGGCGTGTGTATTTGGAGATGCTTGGATATGGAGGCATGCATCCACCTGATTATCTGTGTGGGTGTGTGTACCTAGGAGTTGGTGAGCGTGTGCAAGCGTACGTGCGTGAGTGTGGGATTCCTATGCAGGTGGAAAGAGCAGTGTGTTTACCAGGTGTGCCAGTGCACACACGTGTGGCACATGTATGTGTGCGCGTGCGTATACACATGTGCACGCATGCATGTGTGGGCCTGGGTGTGTGTCCCAGATAAGTCCATAGCCACCTAGGATTGGCATGCAAATGCAAATAATATGCAAATGCAGGCTGAGTCAGAGCAGATTCCCTCCCCAGCCCTGGCCTCAGCCACCCAAGCAGGTGGCCCAGCAGGTGCAAGAGCAGCCAAGCCCAGCCGTGCTGGCCCCCAGCACTGCCCACCGTACCTCTGTTGTGGGGGAAAGGGCCTTTGCAGGGACTCTTGCCTCAATTTTGCTGCTCCTTTAACTGTTAAGATTATCAGTTCAGACCCTGCTTTATACTCCCAAGCTGAATGACCTTAGGCAAGGGATTAAACCTCTCAGAGTCTCCATTTCTTCATCTGTAAAATGGGGAGAGCCGCAAAGTTTACTGCAGAGTCATGAGGATTAGCCAAGATGATCCTCATCATTCAGAGCTCAGCTCCCCTGTCACCTCCTGACAGAGGCCTCCCCTGAGCCCCCAGCCGAAGCAGCCGTTGCCCTTGAGGCTGAGAACACCTATGAGACACTCTGTGCCGGCTGGAATTTTGCTTGGAGACCACCAAAGGGGTTCAGGGTTCACCAGTTTTGTTCTTACTTGACCCTGCGTCCCGAATCTCCTGTCCTCTTTGCTTTACTTTGTCTTTCCTGGCTTCATCTCTCAACCCCAGAGTTGCATAGCCCAGGATGTATACTCTCGGGCAGCCACGCAGCTCGATAGCTCTGCCTCTCCCCGTTCTGGCTTTCCAGCTGCCCCCTGCCCACCTTTCCGCCATCGTGGCCCCTTGGCCAGGTCAGAGGGGAGCGGACCCTCTGCTGCACCCCACCGCGCATCCGCTGCCACCCCGACTCCTGCCCATGAGAACCTGCCTGTCCTCCCTAGAAGCCCTGCTTGGCTCCCCGCATAGCACGCTCCCTATCCAGCAGCGCACACACTCCTCCCCTTCTGCATCTCACTGGGGCCCTTCGTCAACCTAAATGAGTCAGTAGCATTTCCTGACTTAGCTCTTTAGTCAGTCCCCTGGCCACCCACTAACTCATGACTTTCCCCAAGAGCAACAACCAGGTCTCCCCTCCGCAGCCAACCTCTCGGGGTCGGGGACAGAGCCTCTGCTCCTTTGGACATGCTTCTGCACCCCTACCTCCCCCCAGGTTAGGAGATGACATCTGAGTCCTGAAATCCCTTCTAAGCTCTGACTCCACCATTTCCCCAAACGTCCCTCAATATTTCCACAGTCCCTTGGGATCCAGTCCGAACCGGGCCAGCTCAAGCTGTGTGGCCTCTGGGTTAGCACGGGACCCGGTGGAGCCTCCAGGCTACTGTATATTAAATAAGACACCAGGAAACGGAAGGTCTGGGGTCCCGCCCCCCAATCTCTGAAGCAGGTAGCTCACCCGGTAGTCGCTGGAGGTGACGTAGAAGATGGGCAGGAAGGCCAGCCAAATGATGCAGGTGGTGTACATGGTGAAACCGATGAACTTGGCCTCGTTGAAGTTCTCCGGGCACTTGCGCGTCTTGAAGGCGTACAGCGTGCACAGGGCGATGAGGAGCACGTTGTAGGCCAGGGAGCCCAGCATGCTGGCGTCTCGGTGATTGCAGCGCAGCGTCACCACCTCCCGCCGCTCAGGGGCTGTCTCCTTGCCTGTGCCTGGCGCCTCCACCACCAGCCAGGTGGTCACGATGAGCAGCTGACCCGAGATAAGCGCCAGGCAGATGGCCACCTGCGAGGCGGGGCTGATGAACCTGGGCCTCTGGGCTCCCTCCCGGGCCCCACCAAAGATGCGCGCGATGCGATTGGTCTTGGTGAGCAGGGCTGAGTAGCAGACGGAGAAGGCGGTGCCCAAACCAAGGCGCCGTAGGGTGCACACCACGGTGGACGGCTTGGCAATGAAGACGAAGGTCATGCAGTAGCAGAGAAACACGCCACCCAGCAGGATATAGCAGAGCTCCCGGCCCGAGGCCTTGACCACTGGTGTGGCGTTGTGCTTCAAAAAAACGCCCAGCACAAAGAGGGTGGCGAGGGCACCCAGGCAGGCGATGGTGACAGGCCCCACAGCCCAGGCATCGCCCCAGTGGATGTACTCCTGGGGCAGCTCAAAGCAGCCCGTCAGGCTGGCGTTGGGCCAGTAGCCCAGGCCACAGTCAGCACAGGTGAATTCGTCCAGCCGGTACTCGTAGGGCTGGCAGGGGATGCACAGCCAGCAGCAGACCTCGCCCGGCTGCACACTCTTCACCTCGCTCTGGAGGCAGGGCTCGCTGCAGCGCGAGGCAGGCAGCGGGCCAGCGGCGGGGGAGGCCCACGGGATGAGGCTCGTGTCCAGGGTCAGGCCTTCTGCCCAGTAGCCCACCTTCTGGTAGCGATAGCGCCCACCGCCTGCCCGCAGGTAGGTGAAGATGTTGTAGCGACCAATACCGTCACCAAAGCGGTCGAAGCGGACCTCGCTGTGGGTGTCAGCGGGGCGGAAGGGAGCTGGGTGGCAGAGGGAAGGGAGAGAGGGTTGAGTCACCCCGACGTGCTCCCAAACCTCACCATAGCCCCGGAGTTTAGGCCACTCCTCATCCTTCGGCTCCTTACCCCACCACGAAGCCTGCTTTACGTACAGCCATTTTTCTAAATGGGAGACGACAACAAACGCCAATTCTAATCCCCAAGTGGAAGAGCCACCTCAAAGCCCCAGCATCTCCACAAAGTGAACACGCAGCCACCGATTCCCCAAACCCCACCGCAGGCCTAGTCTCCAACCCTAATCCCAGCGTGATCTTAACTCACAATACAGCCCTTCCCCAAACTTGATAGAGAACCTCCCCCCCCCAAGCTAAACTTGGCCTTGGATCTGTTCCTGATCTCACTCACTCTGTTGACCCAGCTCCGCTGCCTCCACCCCCACCAGGCCCTAACACTGATGTTCGTGCAAGCCGAAGCCTAACCCCAGCGGTCACCTGTTACCACTGATGTTCACCAGAATGTGCTGGGTAGCTACAAATCACTTATCTCCCTGCTGCGCCTTCCCCCCTGCCCAGACCCCGGTGAACCTCGTGTCTCCCAGGCTCAGAAAACAGGGCCCCTGTCACCCCAAGTCCCAATGAGAAATTAGGGCTCAAGCAAGCAGATGATGTGCTTCAAGCTGGTGTGAATGGTGCAGCTGGGAGGCAAAGGCAGGCCCCACGCAGGCCCTCATCTTTGTACTTACCTCCAAGGCCTCAGAATCCAAGTCACACCCCACCCTAAATCCCACCAAACCCAGGGAACTAAGTTCAGCCTGGGCATAAGGTCAACGAATCTGACCCCAGGCCCTAATCCTAACCCTAACCTTAACCAAACTCTGAGTCTCCCAAAGCCCTGAGTGCCAATCTGATTGGAATTCCTCTCTGCCTTGACCCTGGGCCAGCACTGGGTTTTGTCAGACTGGCCCCCTTTCTGCAGCCAGTCTTCCTGCAGTCCCGTGATTATCTGGAGGCATTTATTTTTCTTAAGCCTGGATGGAACTTTTATTAAAATGACTTTTGGGTTGAAGAGGCTGTGGCCACCTTGATGAAAATTCCAGATTAGGAGTAGAAACTGTCTTGGGAAAGGAGTGTCATCCTGACACTCAGCCACACTCCCCAGGACCCTCACTGCTGTTTAGAGGCCTGAGAATGCGCTCCAGGTCTCCTGGCTGCTACCCCTTGCCAGATTAAAAGGCAGGAAATGGAGGGCACGGTCCGAGCAGGAACCAAAGACCCTGAATGAGAGTTGGGGACCCGGCCAGAGGTCTGCTCTCTGGAAGGGCCTCAGGAAACAGAACCTCACTCCTGGCTCCCGCTGGGGCCTCACCACTAGCCACCCCTGTTCTGGCTCTGCTGCTGCCCCCGGGGTGAGTCCCTCATTTGCTATAAGCTGTATTTTATTAATCGAGTAACAGAACCGGGGGTCTGCTCCCCGGCCCCGCGCACGCCCCCAGGGCCGGCCGCCAGCACCATTACCATCAAACTTGACGTTGAGCACGAAGTCCTTGTAGAGGCGCCGGCCATTGACAGGCCGCATTGCGTCGCAGAGGCGGGTGGTGTTGGGGCAGAGGGCTCGGTGCATGTTGTGCAGCGCGTGGGCCATCGCGTACACGGCATTGACCACAAACATGATCTTGGACTCCTGCTCAAAGGGCACGGCCCTCAGTGAGTGAGCCGCACAGTCTCGCTGCCGGAAACTGCAGCCAAACCTCTGTTCCCAGAACTCCCGGAACCAGGGGTTCCGGCTGTTGTTCCACGGGTCCAGGCTCCGGAAGTAGGCGGCAAAGTCGCTGATGGGATAGGAGGCCAGCTCAATGGTGATGGCTCCTTCGGCAGCCCTCTCGCTGCCCGCCACCACGCTCTCCAGTGCCCCCCAGCCATCGCTGGCCACCCAGATGAAGCTGGCATTGAGGCGCTGCGAGGCGGCCAGGAGCTCACGGGCGTCCTCTGACCGTGTGAACAGCACGGCCACTCGGGCACTGGGCTTCTGCAGCAGGGCTCGCACCACCCCCTCGAAGGCGGCTCGGCTCATGGCGCGGCCCACCTTCTCTGAAGTGGCCACGCAGATGTTGCGGGCACGAGCTTCTAGCTCAAAGGCTTCAATGCCAGTCTCGCCATAGTCGCCCTCAGATGCCACAGTGGACACATAGGTCCAGTTGAAGAAGCGGAGTATCTCAGCCATGGCCTTGGCTTGGAAGAAGTCGGGGGGCACCGTGCGAGCAAAATAGTCATAGCGGGACTTGTCACTCAGCTTGGCGCTGGTAGAGGCATAGCTGATCTGCGGGATCTGAAATAACCGCAGGAGGTTGGCCACCTGGGAGGGAGAGAGAGGGCTGAGATCAGGGATCAGGGCAAATGCTAGCAACGTTAAGTGTCCCCCCACAGCTATGGGGTCTTGGGGTCGTGGGCATGAGGTCTGCCCTGAGGTTTCCCGCAGGGGACATAGCCTGGCACAGGGAGATTTCTGTCCCCGCCCAAGGGCCGGGAGAGAGAAGACCCAGGGCCAAGGCACCAGGCTCCCGAGTCACACCTGAATTCTCCTGCTGTGCCTGTCGGATGCATGGCAAGAGCAACAGAAGGGAGCCTAAAGAAAGCCCAGGTCTGGGGCGGAACAAGGCTGTCGGTCGGCTGCACGGGAGAGGGAGGCTCAGCTGGACAGCTGGGATGCTCAGAGCTCTTAGCTTCTCCTGTTTAGGGCAGGGACCCCTTCCCCAGAGTCAACCCTGATGGGATAATGGAGAAGGAAGGAAAATCATCCCCTGGGAAGGAAGACCCAGTTCTGAGGGCCATGGCTTCAGGAGCTCAAGGGTTGGTCCCTGGATGCCAGAGTCTGAAACAAGTTTTCCTTTTACCACTGCCTAGCAGCCATCCCCCACCCTTGGGCCCTGGCACCTGCCCCCAGTCAACAACCTGGTGGCATGGCGAGCACGTGAGAGCAGATGATGGCCCAGAGTCCGCGGGAGGGACTAGGTCCTGCATTTCCAACGGGGGCAGAGGTGCTCATTCCAACCTCTCCCCCGCTCCCTGTGCTCCTGAGCAAGTGAGCAACTCCCTGAGCCTCAGTTTCCCATTCCTGCCTTACAAGGTCGCTGAACAGATGAAAATGATTGTGCGTGGGAGGCCGTGCTACCTGGCATATGGGAGATGACAGGGATTTGGATAAGAGAGAAAGGGCAGGAATGAGGAAAAGTCATTCACAGGCAGGTGCAGCTTAAGGATGAAGCGCGTTTTTGACCTCGTCCAGGGCAAAGCTGGCTGACCTGCAGGGAGGACTGCAGGGCTCCAGGAGGCAGGCAGCTTGGGCGGGGGTAATGGGCTCCTGCAGATGAATACATGGGGCTCTGAAGAGAATTACAGGGAAATTTCCAGGGTAGGAAAGCACCCTGGAGGCCCCTGAACACATGATCCAGGCTGCCCACCCACCCTGCCCCCAGGCAGAGCAACAGATGTAGGTGCGGCACAGCCCCGCCTGGCCACCGCCAGGAACAGGACAGCTCCCTGCGTAGGGCGATGAGTGCTCCCGCCCAACTGGGGCCAGAAGCTGCTTCCATGATTCAGGCTTCTGCTTCATTTGATCCTGAACAGGGCCCTGGTCCCTAAAGAAAGTTGAGCCACCCTCTGCAGACCCCAACTACATGTGCCTACATCAAGGCCCTCGCAAAGTGGAGACAAGAACTTTGGTTCTCAGCCTGGTGCTGGGCACCAGGCAGGTGAGGCCCGGGCTGGGGGCAGGTCTGAGCGGGGAAAGGGTCTCCCTGGTCTGAAGCATCCAGTCACACGCAAGCATGCTGGCTGGGTTAGGACCCGCTGCTGACCCCTCTTGGGACAGCAGGAGGAAGGAGGCCCTGGTTTTCTCACCTTCCCTCATCCTCAAAGCTTGCACCCCGAGTACTCTGAGCCTACGCCACCTCCTTCCTCGGGTCCCTCCGTCCCTAGTCCTCTTCTCTGTGCTGCCCCTGGCTTCTATCTGTCCACAGATATGAACCACTGTGAGGTATGACTTGAGGCCCTTGGCTGAGAACCTAGGTTCTTGTCTCCACTTTGCAAGGGCCTTGATTTATGGCTGGCCTCTTTGCAAGTGTCAGTTTCCTCATGTATGAAATGGGGTACCAATAACAGCTGCTAATATTATATCCTTGTGCCTCACCAAGCCCCCAACCCACACTTTCATGTATCAACCTCATTAAATGTTCACCACAGCCCTAACAATGACAAATGTCATAAATTCCATTTTCTAAAGACAGCATTGAGGCGCAGAAGAGAGAAACACTACCCACAGTCACAGGGTAAATAGGTGAACCAGGACTCAACCCTGGACTCAGGAGACCTGGCTACTAAGTTTCTCAGGACTGTTGACATCAGCCGTGTGCCTGTTTCAGGAGCAGGATGAGAATCTCTAAACATCAACTCCACATGCGAAGGGCACTTTACTAGCGTTCTGTAAAAACCTCAAAGAAAGCTTCTAGTCCCTCTTCCAATTCTGGGCCCGCATCTCCACCCCCCTCCCTACCCCGACTTGGGCAGCCCCCCAGTACCTGGATGGAGACGTCGCTGTAGGAGCCGCCAATGACACCGGTGATGGCAGTGGGAGCATCACCGTGGGCAGCATAGGAACCATCGGGGCAGATGTGGCGGGAGCCATCAGCGCCGCGGCTGAGCGAGGCACGCACGAAGTCGAGTGCCTGCTCCAGGGCATGTGTGTCTTTGGAGCAGGTGTCGAGTATGTGTGCACCCAGGCGCACCCCTGGCAGCAGGCTCGGGTCGCGGTTGATGCGGTCCAGCGCAAAAAGCATGGCTTCTAGGCGCTGGATGCCGCGGTGCTCATTGACAGGACCACACTCCTCTGCTGGGCCCCCCTTCTGGTGTACTGGGAACAGCCCACCCAACACCAGGTCCCCCTCCAGGGTCAGCACCTTCTTGGCTGGGCCCTCAGCCACAGCACCCCACAGCAGCAGCAGTGCGAGGAGCCCAAGCAGTGATCCCATGGCCCCAAAGGGGATATGGGTCCAGCCGACCTGGGCCTCTAGGGGATGAGGGTAGAAGCAGCAATGACAAAAGGAGGAAACAGGAACCAGGAAAATACAGATAGGAAGAGAGATGAGAAGGGGCCAAGTTCCTGCAGAGAAAGAGACAGACAAACAGGTAGGGAAAAAAAGAAGTGGAGTCTGAGAATGACTTTCCTACAACTCTGCCCGCCCTAAGCCCATTCTCCAGGGACCCGGCAGCCAGGGAAAGGGGGTGCCACTCATCAGACTGAGATGCTCCTAGATACCCTTACTCTGTCTTTGAACCCTACCCTGACCTGGGTCTGAAGATGGGCTCTGTAAGGGCTCTGTACCCATTCCAAATTCAGCAGAAAGGGAGGGAAGCAGAGGGGAAAGGATCAGACAAGACAGGAGACCGCAGTCAACACTGAGCATAGAGTGTACAAGACCCTCCACAAATCTCCCACCGCCAACACCTTTACCACAGAGACCAGGTCACTTGCAAATTTAGGGGTGGGTGGCATTGCCCATCCCGACCTCTGGATTTCCAGAGAGGAGCCATTACTTGCTGAGAATCCACAGGGCGGAGGGAAGGAAAAGTCCCTGAAGGGTAGTCTCAACCCTGGGGAGACTGGAGCTCAGGTGAGCACCTAAGGGTCCTAGCCTTTGGTTCGTAGAAAGCCATCCTCAGAATCCCTTGACTGAGGAAGTAACAGAGACTCTAGGTCCTGGGCTTAGATAGCAAGGAGGACAGACTGGCCCTGGTGAGGGACACTAGAGTGGCCACAGGTCCTGATTCACCAGCGAAAGCAGATGAGTGTATGAGTATGTCAGGGGTAGGGGCAGTTCATCTGTCGAAATCCTAAAGCAGTGCTCAAGAAGAGACTTCGGACAGCTTAGCTCTGTGTAAAACAGGTCTGAGACTTTCTGCCTCTGTCTTCTCTTCAGCCCAGAAACAAGCAGAGAAAGCCACCATCTCCAATCTCCTCATCCTCAGTCTCAGCACCCCATCACCCTCTCCCTGGCTCTGAGACCCCCCCTTCCCTTTTCTGCTCTGCACCCCATCATCTGTGCTCCAGCTGTCCTCCCAGACACCCACCCCACACAGGCTCTCAGTCACGGAGGCAGGGGGAGGCTAGGTACAGGAAACTGAGGTCGAAAAGGGCAATAACTAGTCCAAGGATCCTGTGTCCTGACCACAGAGACTGACTGTTCACTTTGCCTCCTCAGTTCCCTAGGATTAATCTGCTGGTGCCAGGGCAAAGGGGCTGAGATCCTGTGGGTACCCCAAAAGAAGCAGCCCAACCATGAGAGAGAGGCAAGCATGAAGACGGACACAGATGGGGACTGGCATCCAGGTGGGGGCTGAGGCCCAAATCTGTCAAGACCAGGAGCTTTCCATAAGGGGCTGTGAGGCCCAAAGCTGCTTCTGGGGCAGAAGCTTAAAGGCAGGCAGCCCGGGGGGTCTTGGGTTCCAAAACCTGGAAAGGGAGTGATAGAGTGTGAGAGGCTGAGACAAAGAGGCACAGACAGACAGATGAAAGGACAGAGGGGCAAGAGAAAAGAAGGAGTGTGATGCAGGTTGTGTGTTGTCTGGGGGCTGTGGGGCGGAGAAGGTGGATGCGTGGGGGCTCTCTTCCCGCTTCCCAGAGCTACTAGAGCGTTGTGTGGGCTCTCCGGCCAGGGTGCCCCCAGAACTCCAGGGCCTGCAGGACTTCGGGAAAGGGGGAGAATCAAGATTGATAAGGTCGGCGGCAGCCGCTGCACCACCGGCTTACCCTACCTGGCGCGCCCGGCTCTGGCGCGGAGAGAAATGGAGAGGAGCTGGGCACCGGGTTCCAGCTCCCGTTTGCTCGCTCGCTTGCTCTGAGGCTCTGCGCTGTCCGCTGCCCGCCCCGCCGCTTTCAATCGCGGCCTGCCCCGCCCCCGGCCCCGGCCCGCCCCCAGCCCCTCCTCCGTTCCTCCCCACTCCAGCTCTCCCGCTCCCAAACTGGCCTCCGCCTCCCTCCAGACTCCACCACCGTGCTTGTTCTGCGACTCTGACTCGCTTTCTTCGCGGGCCGGAGCTGTCCGCCGCCCGGTGCTGAATCCTGGGGCGCTCCCGCTCTATACTGGAGCAGATGCCTTAAGGCCTTTACCCGGCGGCTAGACTACATCTCGAGAGGGGCGGGCACCAGACACCAGCCCTAGGAGGTGTGCTGTACCCGTCTGCGAGAGCAAGAGCCGAGAGGCCTGACCTGGGGTCACAGGGCACCACTGGGGGATAGATGAGCGGGTGAGGGGAAGGTAGGTGGAGCACTTAGCTGCTGTCCCTAGCTACATCAATTTCCCCCACCCATGAACTGCAGTTCAATCTACATGCCAGGGCTGAGGTGGGGGTATGTCTTCGAACCCATGTGAGACCCTGGGCCTGAGTCACAAGGAAGGGATGGGGGTGGGGCTTTAGAAGAAACAGGAGTCTGCTCTTCCTGGAGATGACTTTTAAAGCTACCTTCCCCCCACACCTACCCAGCCTTGACACCTCTCCATCTCCATACCATGTATGAAGGGTACTCATGGCAAAGAGACATCAGCCTGGTTGGGGTTGGGATTTTAGGGCCAAGAATAAGGGTCAACCTTGAGGGACATACTGAATCTGGCAGGAGAGGGAGATGGAAAAAAGGTCCTGAAAACTGGCTGCTGCGTAAGAGGGAGCAGGACTTGGAGCCCGAACAGAGGGAGGACAGCCCTGAGAGGATGCTCTTGATTCCTCCATCTTGCAGCAGAATGGGGAAGGCCGTCCCTTGCTAGAGGGTGGTAGGTAAGCTGCAGTGCCGAGCTGTGCTGAAGGATTTGAGAAGGGACCTGATCCAGATTTAAGACCCAGAGCCTATGTCATCTGTCCCTGGGATGCACAGACACTAACAAGTGCGAAGGGCACATGTTCCTCTGGAACTGCCCTTTCTCCCCCAGGTGTCAGTAGAGGCAAGGCGAGCTCAGACTTGTGCCTGTAAACACACACCAAGCCCAGGCCTCTCTGGCACTCACACCAACGTGTGTGTGGCAGTTGGGCTGCAGGATCACCGACAGGTGTTTTGTTTTTTTTTTCTAGACACAGAAATCCAATGCCCCACGGCTCTGGAAAGAGCACAGCTGTGCAATAGATAAACACATCAAACCCAAACCCTATTGCCAATGGGAGGCAAGGTGGCAGCAGGATGACGGTTCAGAGCTGTCAGACGGGGCGGAGAGACAGTCTTCCAGCTTCTGCTCTGCCACTGGTGCGCTTGGCCTCTGTGGGTGCCTAAGAGTGACTGCTTCCTAGGGCAGGTGAGTGGTGAGCTGGGGCCTTGGAGCAAAGGATCTGACAGTAGCAGGGTGAGAGGTGGGGAACTGCACGGCAATCCGTGCCACACTCTCAGCCCCCTCGCCATGGCAGCGTCACAAAAGACACAGGCTTTACACACAATGCCAACCCAGGAGGCCCATTCCAAGGTCCACAGCAAAAGCTACACAGTCCTGCTGCAGCAGACATGCAGTTACACGCCCAGCTATGCAGGCACCACTCGCTGCTGTGCAAAGACAGATACCCAGCCTCACACCCACGCAGAATAACCGCCACTGCAGCCACACCCATAACACTAAGTTTTACAAATGTACACACACATAACTGTACACAGAACCACATGCATAGAGCTGTGCATGCGACATGTCCACTATACACAAGTACAGTCAGACATACGGCTGCAATTAGAGCTTTACACGTGCGCACACACCGATGGCTGCAAACAGGCCCAGCCATGCGCCCAGCTAGCCAGCCTCACCCCAGTAATGTCACTACATACATCCAGAAACACATACACATAGCTACACACTTCCACACACACAGTCAACTCTGGTCACATTCACATCCTGATGGCCACTAGCACAGGACCACCACAGGCAGACCACAGGCGTGTGCCCGCATGCACACACGCTGTGTGAGTACAAGCTCATGCAAACCAGACACACAGAAATATCCCTTGGAAGCAAATGCAGGGTGTGTGCTCCCACTCCTGAGCCCTGGAGGTGACCCCATGCTCAGCTTTTAGCCTTTCCCTGCTCTACGCTCTCCCCAGCACCCTGGGGGAAGTGAGGGGCTGTCTCAATGAAGGGGTGACTGTCAGGTGGGATCACAGAGCAGAGAGTGAAGGGCCTCCAGTAACCCCTCTCCCACATCCATGATTCCTGGGCATGTTCCCCCCTCACCTTTGGCTGGGAGTACGCCTGCTCCTCATAACCTATCTGCACAGATCCCCCCAAGGCAGAACCACAAACAAATGCACAGCTCAAATCCAGGTGAAAGAAAATCATTTGCTTTATTCAGGGTCCTGGAAGCTCCAATGTGAATCTGAAAAAGATGTAACGGGGCAGCAGCCCTGTGGGCTGAGTGTAGAAACATTCCCTGGCAACTTTGGCCCTGGGAGCTGAGAGGGCAGTGAGGAGAAGGCTTAACTAGAGGCCTTGGGTGGTGAATTCAGGGCCTCTGAGACCTCTGGCCCCAGCCTGGGCCCTGGATGCGGAGGAGGAAGAGGACTGGAAAGTCTGCTTAGTTCCTTAGCAACCACTGGAGGGTGCTGGCCATGCGCTACTCCTCATCCTTCTCAGGAGTACTGGGCTCCCGGGGCCACTTGGCAGCCCCCAGAGGCTCAGCCTCAGGACTCAGCCTTAACTCCCCCAGGGGGCCCTCGCCCTCCAGGTCCAGCTCCTCAAAAGATGAACCACTGGCGCCGGACTCGCTGTAGCTGTGTTCACTGCGGGTATCACCATCGTCCCAGCCACGGCTGCTCACCCCGGGGGACAGTGTGGCAGCTGAAGTTTCCCGGCTGCCAGGACCCACCTCCAGGCTTACAGAGCTTGTGTCACTCATTGTGTCAGCTCCTAGGTCAGGAAGAGGGAGCACATGTTAGCTAGGGCCCCCATCCTGCTCCAGGGAAGGGACAGCAGCTTTACCACTCACCCAGCAACTCAGCAGGCAGAGCGCGCTCATGAATAATACAGAGGCTCCAGCTCAGGAGGCTCGTTCCAGCTGCTCTCTGCCCTCTGCCCTCTGCCCTGACTGGGTCTGCACTGACAGGGCAGAGGGAGAAAGTGGGGAGGGAGGGGAGAAGAGCAGCCTGCTGTACTCTCCTCTCCCTACCGGAATTAGCCTCAGCTCCCTGCACGCCCACAAAGCCTGCTGCCCCTCCCCAGCAGCAGTCCATTAAGGGTCACTCAGCCTTGAGGTGAGAAGCTCAGGGTAGAACAAAGAGACCCAAGTAATAGCCCCTCCTCCACGCTCCCCTTCTGGCCTGGAGAGATATTTGTCCAAGGCAAGAGGATGGGAGAATGGACCAGAAGGCCTACTCTCCTGCCCCCTATCCCCACTGCAAAGGCCCCCAAGGAGCAGCCATATCCAGGAAGTCAGCTGGCTCCTGCCTCTGGCCCACACTGAACCCCGACTTGAGGGGGAAGCAGGGGTGGGAGTGGAAAATCCATCCAGGGGAGGGATGGAAAATCCAGCTGCACAGGACAGTGCTGCACAAAAGCATTTGGAGGGAGTCTTCCTCTACACTTGGGTCACCCCAAAAGAGCCCTTACCCATTCCACCCCCAGCCACTGGTGGGTTCCTGAACCACAAGGCAGCAGAAGGGGACCAAGGTTGCTGGTGTCTGGAGAGCCCTGAGACAGTGGTGAATTGACCTGAAGATCCCAACGCCTTCCAGTCTACTCATTCCACCCCAAAATGCCTCAACACAAGCAGCCCCTTCATTTGCCCTACTCAGAACCACCCCTCAATTCATCTCCCCAGATCTGAGGCACCGCAAGCAGTTGGGAGGCAGTAAGGAATGGCAAAGAGCTCGGTTCACTGCATGTGGGCATCCAGATTGAGAGGCTGGCAGCCTTCCTATACTGAGTGAGGAGGGGGCAGTGGTTGAGTATCACAGAAGGTGAGGGGTGGGCCAGCTTCCCCAGATCTGTCTCCATGGCGATAGAACCCCAAATCAGGCACAGCTGGGGACTGTCTGACATTTGGACTTGACCTGGAACTTTCAGTGAGCCTCAGCTGGGATCTAGGGTGGGAGCAGGGGGTTTGGGGTCAGCTCTCTCAACTCCTTGGCCTCAAGAATATGCCCTTTGGGCCCTCCTGGCAGAACTAAGTCTTGGAGTTGCCAGACTGCTCACCTGGGGCCCTCTTCAAGCCCCAGTTAAAGCTCGCAGGGTAGAGGGATTCAAGAGAGTCCAGGCTGAGTTGTAGGCAACACCTTTTGACCCTAGCATAGCACCCCAGCCCCTCACTTGCTCCTTAAATGATGATCAGTGCCTAACGGACTGCCAGCTTGAAAGGAGTTAAGGGTGACAGTTTCTGGTCCCATTTAACTGTCATGTTCCACCTGCCTGCCCATCCAGGGGCTTTCTTGGGGATCTGAGTACACAAACCTGCCTATTGCTAACCAGCTGCTTCCTCCCTCCAGCTGCATCAGAAAAAAGAGCCAGGGAGGTAACCCTTCATGCTAGGACCCAGGATGCTGACATGGACCACCACCAGGGACATGTGGACAGTTCTGGTAAAAAAAGTCCAAGATAGGGAAGTGACATCCCTCTAGCTAGACCAAAGTCTGTATAGGAAGAAGTTCCGGAGACCAGGGTCTGTGTTCTGTGTTCTGAGGCCCAGGCTAGGCAGGGCAATATGCAAATTCCCCAGGGCTTCTGGGGCAGGGAATGAAGCTGCCACCTTCACGCCAGTCCCTGCCTCCTCCACTGCCCACAGCCAGTGCAAGAAGATCAAATATTCATCGCCTCTCTGGAGCTAAATAATACATCAATGTAATAACAGGCACAAGGCACTTAATCACCCCCTTTCACCTCTCAGCCCAAGCTGGGGCCCCAGCAGGGAAGCAGGCAGGGACAGGCCAAGCCTGGGGCAACTGGGAGCCTACCACACACTGCTTCACAAGTGGCATGCACCTGGCAGGCAGACACCCAGAGCCCGCCCCGGGTATCAGGGCAGACTCTGTCAGAGGTGGGCAGACCCCTCAACCCCATACCAGGGAGTGGGCGGGCAGGCTGGTGGGGAGGACAGGCCAAGGCTGCAGCCAGCTGTAGTGGGTGCCAAGCAGTCCTTCAACACCCCTGGCAGGCAGTGTTTGGGAGGGATGCTGGGTGGGCTGAGGGGGGCACAGGCAGCAGGAGGAGGTCGAAGGAAGGTCAAGGCACTCCACTCCCCCTTCCTGCATTGTGAGCTGCCCAGGAACTGCTTGCTGACCTTGTGCCACACCACTGTGCCCACAGTAGGGACACTAAAGAATGTCTGCCAGGCACAACCAGGCGGGTGGGAGCTGTGCCCCATGGAGGTAATTAAGTGACAGATGAAGTTAACTGTATTGGACATGGCCCCTAGGGAGTAGAAATTTGCTACCCAGTTCTTCCTCCCCACTCACCCCCCCCCTGCCCAGCACATGCCTTTCTAGGGTGACCTTGGCTATTATAAATTGGATGTACAGAGGGTAAACAGGAACGACTCTCTTCCAGCTCTACCACTCCCACAGATCATGGAGCTTCAGAGTCACCAGCACAGAATCTCTGGGACATCTTGGGATGCTACCAGCAGATCCCCCTGCCTCTGGGGATACAGCATAGATCACAAGAAGAGGAGTGGGGGCTGAAAGCAGGCAAGTGACCGGCAGGCCTAGACCTAGGGTATGAAGGCTGGGACTGGAGGAAGGGGCTGGGCACTGACCTCATGACTCGCCCTGTATGTTCTCCACTTGCTCTTTGGCAAGGAAAAAGAAGCTGACTCTCAGTGGGACCCTGTACTGGGGACAGGGAAACACCTTGTTCCCTTCCTTACCTTTTAGATCCCGTGCCAATCTTATTTCCTGATAAGCCCCACCCAAGTGATGCCTTTCCAGAGCAGACTCAGCCCCCTCCCATGAGCATCCCGCTGTCTGTGAGCTGTTTCCAAGGGTACTCCTGTTGCCTCTGAAGGGAACCGGGACAGGGCCTTTGTATCTGTGTTGCCAGGGGTAACAAGTTTGAATCCATGTCTATGTAATCCACACGTCCATGAACAGACAACTCTACATGTGGGCCCTATGATAGGTGGGGCATCTTTTTCCACCTCTGCCAAGCACAGCCTAGATGCCCACTGTGCCAACCCAGCCAGGGAGGAGCCTCCTCCACTACATGCCTGCAAGGCCAGAAGAGGGACTCCAGGCATGGCTCCCCTCTCCCTCCTTCCCCTCCCTCCCCCTCTGTACCTGTGCCATCCATCTGGGCATCATTGGCCTCTGCGGGGACCCGACTCTTCCGTTCTGTCTCCTTCACTTCAGGCACATAGAAGTCTCCCTGTCGTGCCAGTGGACACATAAAATAGATCTGGTCTTGCTGATAGATCTCCAGCCGAGGGTGGGCGCACAGCTTTCGCTCCTTGGTGGACAATAGTGAAAGGTGGAATAAACCCTACAAGGTCTCTTATTCTCTTGCCCTTGAGTGGCCCTAGAATCAGTTATTATTGCTTATTCCCTACTAGGGGGCTGGCTCTGCCTCCTGCTGAGAGAGGCACACACAATGCACCCTAAGAACAGGATGCCAGACACCAGGGGTCAGTGGTATGAGAACCCAAGAGTTCTTGGGACAATACCCTAATGGTACTAAAAGAATTCAGGATCCAACCCCACGTGTGTCTGAAAACAAAAGGCTGTTTCAGAAAGCAGTGGTCTAAGAATCATAAAGCTTAGTATCCTGGACCCCGCCTCCTCCAGGACAAGGACCCCATAAACTATGGTCCCAGATACTCTAGCCTGTCAGACTTTCCATGATAGGATCCCCTGGCTTTGACCTTACTCTCTACCCTGGACAATGTCCCTGGATCCACAGATATATTAGAAGAAGCCAGTGTTCATGACCCTTGGGGCCTCTAGACCTCGCTCTTGCAGACATGACACCAACAGACCCTGCACAGGGCCTCCAGGCCAGGCCAGCTAAAGCCCTTTTCCACTCCTAGTTCACCTACTAGTTCAGGTCTATACCAACCTCTGAGACTATGCTATATGGTTTCCCTCCTCTTCTCTCACCTGGTATAGTTAATGGGGAGGAAACAGACCCTAGGCCTAGGAGCAAGCAGGACAAGCAGGTTTAACAATGAACATTACCCCAGGCCCCCAATGGGATGAAGTACCAGCTTATAATGCTCCAAGTTCTGAGACAGTCTGTCCAACCCTTTGCTTGGACACAAGAACCCAAAGGTACAGAAAAAGGGGCAAGGCTTCCATCAAAACAGGAGTCAAATGCACCTTGCTCTGGAGCCAGCCCCTTTTTGCTGCGATGCAGGGCAATTTCCCACTAGGATGACTGCGAGGCCCCTGCCCTGTCACTGCTCACCCGCCAACCTTCACAACACAGCTATTTATAGCACCGCCCGGCTCTCACCATGAGCTCTGAAATGAGCCTTCCACTTAGCAGTAATGAGAGACTTATCGCTTGGTGGGGAGAAGCCACTCCAGGACTCCACTTGTCCGCCTGCCTGGACAATCCTAGGATTGAGGAACCCCATCCAATTAAAGCCAAGTGAAGAGGGGTAAAATGAGCTCCTTGGAAGACTAGGGGAAAGAGGAATGAGCCTGAAAAGTTTATCCAGCTGTAGGCAGGTTGCATCTGCCATGGGCAGGTAGATGGTCCAGCTCGGGTCTAGTCACAGTAAGCTTCTGACTCCACTTCAGGTAAGATGTTTCAAACTAAGTCTGTGTGCTCCAATGCAGCATGGAGTCCCCTAATCCTGACACCTCCAAGGTCAGCGAGGAAACATGGTTACTTTTAATACTTGAATCCCATCACTTTTTGCCAACATGTGTATTCTTTGGGCCACCTCAAGAGTCCACATCCCCTAGCTCCTTCCATTTCTAAACACACTGATAACTACCTCTGCTCCTCTACTTCCCCTAAATCTGGTCTTCAGGAGAAGGAGGAAAATAATATCAGGAAGCTGGAGCTAGCAGGCTCTAGGGCCTTTCTAATGCCAGCACTAGAGGTAGGCATTTAACAAGCCTGAGCTCTATTCAGTGAATGGGACCACATCACCAAGGTGAGGATCAGGGGGCTGAAGAAGGTTCAGGTCCTGAACCTGAGCCCAAATACACATGGACTTAACCAGCATCCCCAAACTCGGGGCACTCAAAGGATCCAAAGGGAAGCTACTGGTGGCCACCAGCTATCTAGCAGCACATCTTTGGAGGACTATAGACAGCTGACTTTTGGGGATACTACCAGGAGCTAAAGTCTGTGCCCATCCAGAAATTCCAGGGACAAAACCCCAACATTCAAGTCACTTGCTTAGCTTCCCTCCTAGAAGTTAACAGGTACAGGCAGTAAGAGGCATAAGATGAAGAAATGTGCTCGTTCCACTCTCCCTCTAGGCTGGGCATTAGGGTGGGCAGCACTAGGCAGCCACTCTATGCCACCTGCTCTGCCAGCCCCCTCATTGGCAAGCGGGAGGCAGCTCTGCGGCTGCTCTGCGCATCTGCCTCCTCCAGAGAGCCCAGCTCTGAAGTTGCCTGGCTGTGGACAGCCCCGTTGCCATGGAAACTGCATCCTCCATCCTTGCCATTGCCTTCATCTCAAAGCCATCGGGGAGAACAGAGAACAGGGGAGAGAGAGAGAAAACTGTGGCCTGGCGACATGGCCCTTCCTTCCCTGCCCATTCCTACCTCCCCAAAGCATCCCACACAGGGTGAACCAGCTGTCTAAGCCTTCCCAGGAGGGGCAGCCTCATACCCAAGCCCAGCCAGGTCCTAGCCCCAGCACCTAGGGGCCCCTGGCCTATCCTGCTGGAGAGAGGCAAGGAGCTAATTAAAATCTCATTGATGGCTCAGCCCCAAATCATTTTAACACATGCCAGAGCCTGTCAAAATTCAGGCTCTGAAGCAGAGGAGAAGGGGCAAGAAACAATAGTGCAAACTTCCCATCCAGGCCCACAGGAAGGGAAGGGGAGCTGAGTGGCTCCTGCAGCCTCTCCTTGAAGAGCCCTCTCCACACTCTGCTCATTGGGGGTTGGGGATGGGAGGTGGGGGGGCGGGAAGTATCATTTCCTCTGTCCCCAAGTGGTAAGACAGAGAGGAGACACCTTTTCTATCTCAACCAGGCACAGCCTCTGAGAGAGGAGAAGGTAGCCATAGACTAGCTCTCAGGTCCTCACTACCCAGCAAAGGCTGTGGCCCAGCAGCATGTCAATGAGTTGCTAAATATTGGAAAGTCACTGGAGGAAGGCAAGGCCAGCTGCCTCTCCTTCATCTAGCCCCAGGGAGCTCTTGGAAAGCAAATTTCCAAGGGCCAAGGACACCAGGTCAATGCCATACTGGACCGGAACTGACTGGGAAGGGATCTGGAGTCCTCCCAGCCCTGGATATACCACAACCCAGAGAGCCGGAGGCTTAAGCAAGCATCACTGGCACAGAGACACCCATCCTGGCCACTTAAGCCACCAGCCATTTGACAAGACCACAACGCAATCTTATCCCTCTAACTGCCTCTACCTGTTACTTCTAGGAGGGAAAGCTAGGCAAGTGACTTGTGCTCAATCCCACAAAAATACTCCAGTGGATTACAAGGCCATTCTCCTCCTAGGTGGGAGATGCAGATATCTACAATCCTCCCCACCTAACAGGAAGAAGTCAAATATCACACTGCCAATACCACTAGAAACTGGATTCAGGAGTTCTAGTCCCTCATATACCTCCAAGGCCTCTCTCCCACTTCATTCTTCTATGTGCAGAATCAAGGGAGACTTGGGACAACATCCATAATGCAGGGATTTCCAGGACATCTCAGCCACAGCATTTCTCCCTACCACTCCTCATCAACACTGGCTCACCCTTGCTGGTGGACAAGGGAAGGCGCAGCACCCACAATGCTGCCATGGTGGTCCTGCCTCCGCTTCCTGAGGACACACTATTCCTCTCCCTCCTCACCTGAGACTGAGTTTACATCCTGTGTGGGGAACACACTTTTGGCACATGCAGATCTGGGCTCCTAAAAAGAGGGCAGACTAATATGCTGTGCCAATGTTTCATAGCAGGACACGGCCCACAGTGCCTCCCTGAGAGTTCTTAGGGGAAGTGGGGGAGGGAATTAAGAGGGAGTACCCAGACTACTTTCATGTGATGTTTTGCTCTGCAGACATCAACTATACCCTTGCTTCAGTTGCAATCAGGTCCTGGTAGAGACTGGGTTGAGTTTTCTCAAAGCTAGGTGGCTTTAAATTCCCAAAAGAATAACACCATGGGTGCAGGTCAAGAACTGGGTCACAGCATCCCCTATATGAGCAGTAGGTCCCGAAAGAGATAAGGGTCTGCTCAGTCTGCCTCCACCTGACCATAGCCCCTTACCTCCTACTTAACTGGGGTGAGGGCACTGGCCCTCCCTGTTCCCCCTGGGTTGCCCAGTCCTACTCATCCCTCCATGCCGGGTTGGACAGCTGGGCAGTCACACAGTCAGCAAACAGCTGTTGCATCCCACCCGAGGTGGTGACATCCCCTCACTGGGTGAAGTGAGGCATGCTCATTTTTAATTACACAGATACCAACTTGCACCCGCCTGCACACAGCAGTCTCTGCGAGTGGGGGCTCAGGCCCTGGAGGCCCCTTAGGCAGCCGATCTGCACTGCGTGTGCAAAGCGATGGGGGAGGCAGTGCAGGGGCTGCAATTGGAATGTGGCACATTGTTATCATTCTGCCCAGGAACTTCCATCAACTTCCTTCTCCTTGTTTCCCCTCATTCCCACTGGACCTCCCAACTGCCTCTGGCCCAGGATCTGAACCTGTCTGTGAGGTGGGAGGCGACGGGAGGCGACAGCAGGCGACAGCTCTGGGGGCCTGGAAATACCAGCAGAGAGACCTGAAGACGACAGCTCTGGGGGCCTGGAAATACCAGCAGAGAGAACCTGAAGAAGGGCTAGTGAGCCTCTCCCCACTCACAGCAGGAGGTCCCAGCGTCTGAAAATTACAACGGAGACTAGGAGTGAAAGGGGCTACCAGGGAGGGTAGAGAGGGGGCTACAAATGGCAGTGAGAGCTCCAGGCAGGAGTCCAGAGCCTTGGCCGACCTACTGACAAGCCAGTGGCTTCCCTTTGGGTGTCAATCTCCCCAACAGTAATACAAAGACTGAACAGATGATCTCAAAAGAAGGAACTGGAAAATACAAATACAATTGTAGACTCAAAAAAATCCAAAAAGAATCAATGGACAATCTACCACAGATATTAATTAGATCACAAATTAACAGAAGCACAGCTCATTTCTCTGTGTACTCAGCCAGCTAGAAAATATAGTGGAAGTAGGAGATGAAGGCCCTCGCAGAGTCAGGTCTAGCCCAGGGCGGGTGTGGGAGTCCCCTGGGATGAGAGAAGGGAATGGCAGGGGAGCCAGGCCTGGCCA